TAATTTTGGGGTGAGCGTAAATGTTCCAGTTTTTAACTTAAAGGAGATTTATTCGCTTTTTTAGCTTATATTATTATGCAACCGTTTGAAACAATTCATTCTGTTGACTGAAAATTGGACACCGTATAACATTTTTATGTACCAGAATACTGTATAATTCAATAGAGAAAAACTGCATGTAATATAAAATGACGAATTTCCATTAATACGCAGGGGTAGTCAAACGGGGGTGTGGATGAGGGAAATATATCTCCCATTACCTAATTTTCCTTAAATATCTATAATAACATAATTTATATTACCTATATCTAATACATATTATTTAAATAATCATAGTTTGTAAAAATTATCCTTATCTCCCCTTTTATGACTAAATGATTTAACCATCACGGTAATAAACTTGTCTAATAAATTTTTGATTATAGCTCGCAAAACAATAACCATAGAAAAGTGAGACATTTTTTTACTTTTACTGAATTCCGGCTGGTATTATAATATTGAACTACAATTATAACTTTCAAATACTATTATAATCAAATATCAATGATCTAAAAATTAGCTAAACTATATAAAGTATATAATACAATTTATACAAAATTTCTAATAAAAAAAAAATTAAAAAATATTACATTAAATTCAAAATTTTCTTGTTGGCTACTGAGTACAACTTATAATGAACCTCTTGTTAAACTGTTAAACATGTATGTTTAGTTTACAATTTTATCCACAGACTATCCAGTGAATAAATATTACGTTAAAAATCTCGGAAAATTAAAATGTCTATAAATAGCTTTAAAATGGCTTAAATGTTTTGAAAATTTTACCATTCTTTTGTCAAATCCCTACGAATATTTTTTACTGAATGAGAACAAAAAAATAAAATTTAAAAAAATATAAGCATTATTTTCGTAAATTATTTAATCTTTTTACGTTTTTCGTGGTTTTTCACAACTCTTATGAAAATCGCTTGAAAAATCAAAAAATGACCTTCTTTAAATACCGTCCCAGTCAAATTTCCTTTCCAAAATAAAGCTACACTTGAAAATCAGAACAAACTAGCTGGTTGAAAAGCTATTCACAGATAAAAAACAAAAAATAAACATCATTGTAAAACCAATAAATTCCTCGCTCCTCTCAGAATCTAAAATTACTCTGTACATGTTTCAGATGTGAATAAATCGTATTGTATTTATATGTATAACGTTAGGAACTTCATATTATAGTAAAACCAAAATTTAAAACACATATTACTACGCTCGGAATCTAAAATAAAGATTCGACCAATGGCTCTAGAAAATTGTTGCTGTGGTCTATGCTCTTTAGTCTTGCAGTTGCGGTCTTTAAACTTTCTTTTCTTTTTTTTTTTACACTATACTGTTTTTTTTTTTTTTTTCTTTATTAAAAAACAATATTTACTATCTGTGTTATGATATCACAATAAACAAATATGACAATTTTATATACAATAATTTATATACATTTTAACTGTGAATGATATGAGGGAGACCAATGCTGGAACCCAACGTGATATGTTACTTTAGGTTAATAAATCTCTGCAGTATTTTCTTTTGAGTCGATGGGTAGAATTTATGGGTTGAGTATTGGATGTGATTTGCGTTATTAATGAGTTAGTATGGGAATGAAGTTTGGATTAATAATGTCTGTAATGTTTTATGGCTAATTAAACAACTGTTTCGATTTTTAGGTCCGAGTGTAGTGCGGAGTTAGATACAAACCAAGATGCAGAGGTTAGCATACAGAGAGTAATCGATTGGAAAGTTTGTATGGTGCGAATTTTGGGATGGTTTTGCTCAGCCCCAAATTTGGATTGCATATGCCCATATTAGCTGTTCAGAGTTTTTCTTTTTAGTTTAAGGTGTTTATACTATTATGATATTTTTATTTACGAAATGGACAGGAGTCGATTCGTATATATTAAGAGTCAACTATTTAGTACGCATCGATCATGAAGTACAGATAGTTGACGAGGGTGAATGAATAGGAAATTTTGAATACGAACTTTTTTCGTATTTACCAAATCTATTCTCAATTCTTGGGCGGATGAAGGGAGAATTATAGAGATGAGGGGATGGGGAAGAGTCGGAAAAACGGAAAATTCCTAGTGCATTTCTCATCGTCATCCGTCCGTCCGACGACGATAATACAATAGATGTCGGGTATATAATAGTGGGGGGTGTGTGTGGCAGATGAGGGGGCCAAACGACCCGACAACTCGTATCGCATGGTGTTATTTCCGACAGTAGTTTCCGACGGCGGCGGCGCGAAAAGACAGGCATGCCAACACACCGGCCCGAATGTATACGATTTCTCGAAAACGAATATATTATTATATTATATACCTACATCACGTAAAACGTGCGGCATCGTTTGTTATACCCTACGGTCCCCAAGACGTGCATAAATCATTGCCGTCCGCCAGAAACCTACATTATATGATCTGTTCTCGCGTACCTATATAATGCTTCTGCAAGTACCCTCCCCCTTCCCCCCCGTATATGTATAACGCATAATATTAAATATGCGAGTTCATATACCGTCGCGTCCCACCCACGTGTACGATAATATTTTACTGGGAGAGTGATAAAAATTACGTTTACACGGCCGATGACACTTGTTGCGCCCCGCAATCCGCGTCCCCGACCGTTATTCCCGATTTTGACAGAGCCGGATAAGTGAAATTAGTGTAGCCCAGGGTTAGTTTGATCTGCAGAGGATCCTAAATGTATAAAAAAAAATGTTTCATACGTATAATTACATTTATTAGTAAGGAATGCATTTTTCAAACATAAACGATAATTTAGTTAATTAATTACGAGATAAGGAAAAGTGATCGAAATTGACTAAGATTGATATGAAGAAGGTGACGTGCCCAGGAATTTTCCATGGGAGGAGATGTAACAAATAAAAATCGTGAAAAAAGAGTAAAATCGTCTTCTCTACCAAACTCGACCGGAGAATTGGTAATTTAAAAACCAAATCCTAAAAAAGAGCCAATTTTTAATCCGGCTAATTATTTTTTTCGCCTTTACTCTTTTGGAAATAAAGCCAATATCTGTCGGTTAAGTAAGAGTAAAGAATTACTACTCAAACGCTGCACACAAGTTATACTTCATTACTTTCTCAAACTAAAAGTGAAATAATTCGTCAACGGGTTGACCGAAAATAACGGTAATATAAAATTTTAGAGCTACTTAATAATTTCCGAGTTAATAAGTGTCTTATCAATGATCACCCTATATTAAAGTCTACAGCGCTTTAAGCACTTAAATCAAATGTACGATTTAAATTCAAGACTGGAAATTTATTTGTCCGATTGAGTATATATTAAAATAACATTAATATTTCTAAAAAAAAATAATAATAATAATAATAAGTAATAAGAAACAAAAATATTCCTATGGGTATGGAAAACGTTTATTCAATTATGACATTCCCCGAGTACTTATAAAACAATTTAAACGGACGAACCAATTATAATAATATATTACATTATAATAGAATCCTTTTCAGTTTTTAGCCTTTGGCACACGTCGAACCCAACGTTGCTATCTCAACAAGTCAATCACACAAGTTCGTATCGTCTCGGAAGATCATAACTGACGGTGATCATTACTATATAGCTTAAACATATAAAAGTATAGTATTATACAGGGCGATTCTGTGATTATGTACAAACATTTTGAGTAAAATTTATTTTGATTTTTTTTTCAGTAAACATTACAATAGTTTTAACTTTTTACCCCTATTCCGTACACAATAAACTAAATAAACACGCATAGATTTTCGATTTTCAAATACAAATCACCCACTCTTTTTTAAACAAGACTCGAAAAAAGGTATATTTTTCCAAAAATGTTGATATGCATAATATTAATATTGGATATATCATATTTATTAGATGCGTTATACCAGTTTAAAATGTAGACTAGAGAATTACCATCTAACAATGAATATGAAATTGAAATGTATTACCCTTCCCTACACTTTTGATTTAAATTTTGAGCTGTTGTAACTCATAGCCGATATTAGTATTGATGTATTATGCATATCATTATAAAAAAAAAAAATCCTCTTTTTAAATCCATGTTGAAAGGGGGTTGCTATATGAAAATTAAAATTTGTTATGTGTCCATAGTGAACGGAATATAGGTAACGTTTTTAAAACATTTTAAAAAAGATGATTAAATGATTTCATAATGACTAAACAGAAATCAAATTTACTTATAAGCTAAAATCCTCCGAGAAAAACACTGGTTCACGATAAAAAAAAAATCGCTTATGTATATACAACCCTACGTACTCAACCCTACCGCATAATGTTATAAACTACCAATGCGCGACGTTCTTCTTGATCCGAATGAACTATACGATTTCTCATCGTCTATATTTCTTCTTCATTACGGAAATAACCAATGAATAATCTCATAATATCATTTTTATTTTCTCAGAAGTCGATTAATTTTATTTGCGCAGACATGCGCCACCGATTGATCATTATAGTAATTTTCTAGAACATAACATTGTTTACTGAATATGATATGGTTTATTAGATATGTAAAAAACTATACCATATAAATTCTTGTTTTTCTTTTCTTTTGCAATCATGTTCATTAATATTGTAACATGTCAAAATAAATGCGAGATATTGTTAGATAAACAATAAATATTCGGATGTTGCAAAACGCAAACAAATCCTCAGTTTTTATTTTTTTTTATTGTAATGAATAAAATATAATATAATCAATTGGTGGTGAAATCAATAAATCTTATCTTAGATAAAAATAAAAAATTATAAATACTTTTGATTTTTCATATAAAATTTCTGGTAACATAAATCTGTTTAAAATGCTAACTCGTAAATAATTTCGAAAACGTTTTCTCAAGTAACAAAAAAACATACACACAATTTTTCTATCCGTATTCTATGGATTGCATATTTTATGAAAATAACGATTTTTTTTTTGTTTTTAATATTTCTCTCTGAACCACTGAACAACGGTTAAGCTAAGCCGAGCAACGGTCAACTGGGAGTATTCGACTCGCGCAATCGGTCCCCGCGGTACGATTGGCTTCCCGTCGCCATTATCGACAGGGCTGGTCAACATACATTTGTAAATATTCTCCGGTCATGGATGAACTCAGAATTCGGAGAATATACCGGGTTAGATTATTTTCATGTCATTGAGTACTGTTAGTACTAACGATAGGTATGCCTATAAAATATTGCCACTGAGATATCGCGAATCCAATAAATCGCAAAGAAATAAAATCGCGTGACAAAAATATCGTTCCTATATTATTGAAAAATATTTTTACTTTGTTAAAATACTCAACGGAATATCGCATCTCTAAATTACTTATCTTACCTTATGACCTTCTTTTTCGTTTTTCATTTATAACTGTGTGTACTGTTTCATATTTTTTCTCTGTATTTTTACTTTAACTTATAAAATATCAATTGTTTTTTCGGGTTCACTTTTACGAAATAAAAAGATGGTGCAGATTTTAAAGTAAAACGTATGCTCATATCACTGTACTATAAATTATTATTGATAATATGATATTTTATATTTTTATATTATATTATAATTATATTGCTACTACTATTTATACTGATGTAACTTTAATGACGATGATTTTATTACGAAATAGTTTACCGGAAATATTTGAATAGTAATTCCTAACGATACACCTAATGTCAAATCCAAAAATGACCTTCAAATAGTTTAGGAGGAAAAAAATGTTGACTGTTTAAGTGTCAAAGAACAATAGACTTGGAATCATTGGTTTCTTTGACTTTTCCTAAGCACTTCTTTTTTTTCTATTTCTTTCTTTTTTTCATGTTTAGCGATTTCGTAATGAATCCAGTAAAAGAACTACTCTCCGAGATTTTTTAGGTGGATGGAGACAATTTTTTCTTCCGTTTTGATAACAAAACCTTGACTAGCAGAGAAATACAATATTTTACATACCTTTTCCATACAAATGTATCCGAAAACTACAGATTAGCTAAGTGGCAGCAAATTTTGTCTCGCAAATGTTGATCGAAGATTATAAACAAATCCAAATTCAGGTTAGTCAAGAAATTTTTAGTAAAACAAATGACAATACAAAATTTTTGAAACGTATTAATACGTAATCATCAAACTCGAAGAAAAATTCTCTCCAACCTCTCCTCCTTCGTCAATTTGCTTTTCTTTTGGATCCATCAAAAAATCGATAAACAGAAAGAGCTTATATTACAAACACATTGGTTATATTAAAACAAAGAAGGTTATAGAAAATCTACAAAAAACAAATATGCTCAAGAAAAACCACAGAAGTTAATGTTACCAATCCTATGCACTTCGACACTCTATCGAAACAGTTTCTGAAAATTATATTTGTATACCTCGTATTATTATATAAATTTGTCAGATAAATTCAACAATTTAACTTATAATAATAGCATAAGGAATTGAGTTATTAAATATTTTCCTTTTTAATTAAAACAAACGCTTCTGTCTTCAAAGGAAAAATAGTTTTCGTATACTTAAATAATTTTTATATTTAAAAAAAATATATCAAATTTAAAGTTATTGCGATATAATTTAAATGACCGTACTTTTATACTCTTGTTGCTACCACTAGTTTTGAATCATTATAAAATGTTGTAGTACGCTAATAATTATCCAAACTGTTACAACCGCGTTAATCGTCTATAATGTTTATTATTATTCCATTAACTTTATATCAATTATTATAAACACTGCTTACAAAAAAAAACTTTTTTTATCGTTATTATCATTATTATTCCTATGGGGATTATAAGCCGACAAAAAAAAAAACCGAATTTCCCTACTCGGAATACGGCAAACCTTCATTATCGTCGACGAGCTCGAAAATGTAAATTGCTGTAGATTGCGTTCGACTTAAACGAATTAAATCTAAAGAGCTTGCCTGTGCATGGGCGTACGGGAAACTCCGTGATTAACTTCTACGAGCACGACGGATGAGTTTAACGCCACGAAGTAGTCTAATTGGCCGCCTGTGGTAATTTTAGTCTCCTCACGGCCAGTTAATCAATTTTCGTTTTTCTATATCGCACTTGTTGTTTTAAACGTATACTATCCGCAATTAAACATAATATTTTGTACTTGAGCTGCCTCCCAATTAGTACTAAATATTTTGATGGTAATCAAAAAGCGTTCACTCTTATAATTGCTTCCAAATCGACGGGTAAATTTCTCAAGTAGATCCTGAAATTTCAATCAAAACTAAAAATATGATATCTCCTGGAAACGATGAATAATTTATCTTATTTGTTTTAAAATTTCAATTTAGTTAATTTAGCCGTTTTGTAAAAATTGTATTTCTATAAATAATAACGGAAAATGTTAATCAAATGTGTTCAGTTTTAGTATAATAGATAACATACGCGTCTGTATCATGCCCATGACCATATGGTTAGGTAAGTATATACTCGTAAACTATCAATATTCTTCGATTATATAAAATTTCGCATCCCGACAGATCAAATTTTGAAAACATCACCAATCGAAAAATATAACACGATCATTGAATAATAAATACATCGATTTAGGACATTAATGTGAGCTTATAAAACAATATACCTACGTTATAGTTTTCGCAGTACCTATACTATTGCTATTGTCAAAATTTGTATTTTGTCTCTATTGTGTTGTACATCACGTCTTATATGCATAATTCAAATTTCCAGATATATTATAATAATATACCTACTCGGTATGTAAATCGATAGTTGAAAGTTGAACAACAATATATCCTTCAAAGTTTCAAGTTTACAGTCTTTAGCAACATGACTATACGGAATAATTAGCCTACATCAGTAAGGAGTCTATAGAAAATTCATCGCCGTCGCGGTAACTGTGGATAATATGATGGTAACATAATGTACTTAATATGTAATTAACTCAATAAAACGTTTTGAACTTGGCAACAAAATTTGAGTAAATCACTTTTAGTCTCTTTTCAGCGTTCAATATGAAAACATTTTCATAAACAATAAGTAAAATTTATTTTTATATAATAAAACTAATACATTTTTCAAACGAATGGAGAAATAAACTATGGTTTTCTAAGTCCTGGCAATCACATTTGTGTTTGCCAAGCAAAATTAACTGTAAATACAAATTAATAACGTGTAAGTGTAATGAATATGACTTATTTTTATTGACTATTCAAATTATAACTATAGGTATAATAACAGAGTAAAAAATGTCCATTTTATATTTTTAAGTTTTTTACATTAAAGTTAAATAAATACTATTTTATTTAACATTTAATGATAAAGTCATAGTCCATAATTTCGAAAAATAAACATGTACACAATATTATTATTGTCTTGTTTATCTAACTAGTGATTTCTAATGAATATATGTTAAACTTCAAAATTACTTTTTTAGTAACAATAGTATTTATACAGAATGATCAGTCTATCATAAGATACTCATTATCTCAAAAAGTATTGACTTTTTTCGACATTTATTTTATAGAAAATTTCAAAAACAAGCAGCTCTACAATTTTACATTTATGTTATTTTTCCTCCCTAATTTTTGAGAGTGAAAGTACTATCTACTTTTGACTTTTAAGTGACAACCTATATTACAAATTCCATAAAACTATGGAGTTGTAGTTAAAATAAATTTATAATTTCCGTCAATCTGTTGACGAGATATTCCACTTTTAAGTTTGGGTCGGGGAAGAGAAGTAGTACATTCTTAAAACGCCACGCATATGCCTCCACACAAATGATGCTCCACTACTCTCCCCCGACCCAAACTTAAAACTGGAATATCTCGTCAACGGATTGAAGAAAAATACAAATTTAAACACCGAAATTTGTTTTAACTACTACTCCATCTTATTATGGAATTTTTAATATAGATTACCATTTGAAAATCAAAAATAGGTAGTCGTTTCACCCCCCGAAAATTAGGGTGACAAAAAATAATGTAAATGTTAAATTTTAAAACAGCTTGTTTCTTAAATGTTTTGTAAAACACATTTTTAAAATAGTTAATACTTTTCGATATAATGAGTGTCTTACGTTAAATTGATCACTCCTTATATATCTTTTTCCCGTTTACGTTGTAAACAGAACGTTTTACCAAACAAATGAGTCTTCTTTATATTTTTTATAAATTGAAAGGTACATCCAGACTTTAACAAATCAAACATATTTATACCAAAACTATTGTATAGGTCAAAAATATGAGCAAAACTTAAATTTTATTTCTTAGTTTAACTTTCTAATCTAATACACATTTATAAAACGTTATAATTATCTAGGTACTACGATTTCCATGTTAAAATAGTTTGCTATTGAATTAACGATGTGATAAAATTCGTATCAAATATTGATTTTCTTTTTTTTTTTCAGTAATATTTTCCTGTTAAATTCTATTCTAGTTCAGAGAAAATCTAAGACCAGATCTTAAATCAGCAAAAAATAATTAACAGAATATTTATTTGTTAGAAAATTTGCAGTTTACTTTTTATATAATTGGTTTTAAGAAGAAAAACACGATAGTATAACATAATTAATTTAAGATTAACAACACACCCAATATTATACATTTCACTAAATACGTATATTATAATGACATTACCAGAAACATAAATATAGAAATATTATGCAGTTGTTAAAAGTATTTCAATTCGATTTTTAAGTTTAAATTTATTATGAATATACTTTTAAAAAATATCCAAAACTTTTCTATACATATTATATTCACCAAGAGTAAGCATTCAGTTTAAATTTCGTCTAGTACATAAAATATTATATCCAACGCATATACGCATAATTATTAACTATTAAAATGGGAATTTAAATTTAAGATCATGTAGATCTCATCTACTTAGATCTACCACAAATTAACGATTAATTTCGAAAACGCATCACGAAATTTATTATCATCAAAGCATCTAATCTACATAAAATAATTATCAAATATTATGAAATCCTGTTTAAGAACTTACATATATTTATGTATATATACTCCTAACCTAACCTAGTGTAGATAAGTTAACATAATATTGCATATTTAATTACCTGAATAACTGCAGGTATTGCGTGATGTAACATGCAAATCATAAATAGTTTATTTATTATCACACCTATTCTTGTAAATATCAAAGAGAATCCAGAATTGTATTCACAATTTTTTCCTCAATGTGTATGCGTGGGAGTAAGAGAGAGAGAACGCATGTACGAACATCGTCAATAACTTCTCTTTTATATTTTTCGGGGAAAATTTTAATTACATTTTATAAGATTTT